CAATGCCTTTTCTAAATCCATAAATGCAATAAAAACTTCCCTACCTTTATCTAAAATACTGTTCACATATATGCTTCAATGTAAAAACTTGATCTACACATCCCCTACCCACTCTGAAACCTCCTTGCTCATCCGCAATCCTACATTCTGTCTTACCTCTAATTCTTTCAATTATAACCCTACCGTACACTTTTCCTGGTATACTCAGTAAGCTTATTCCTCTATAATTTTTACAGTCTCTTTTTCCCCTTTCCCTTTATAAAAGGACTATTACATGCTCTCCGCCAATCCCTAGGTACCTTCCCCTCTTTCATACATTTTTAAACAAAAGTCCCAAAACCACTCCAACACTATATCCTCCCCTGCTTTAACATTCTGTCATGATCCATCAGTTCCAGCTGCTTTACCCCTTTCATTTACGTAATCCTCACGTACCTTCCCCACACTTACATTCTGCTCTTCTTCACTCCTAAAAGATGGTATACCTCCCTGACCAGTGCTTGAAATTACTGCTTCGTTTTTCCTTAACATTAAAAGTTCCTCAAAAATTCTCGCCATCTACCCAATACCTCCATCTCCCCAAACTAACTCCCCTACCTGTTTTTAACTGACAAATCCATATTTTCCCTGGGCTTTCTTAACTTGTTTAACTCACTCCAAAAATTTTTTTCTTATTTTCTTTAAAATTTCTTGACAGTGCCTCCCCCACTCTATCATCTGCTCTCCTTTTGCACTCTCTCAACCACTCTCTTTACCTTTCTTTTACTCTCCATATACTCTGCTCTTCTTATAACTCTTCTGCTTTGTAAAAACCTCTCATAAGCTACCTTTTTCTCTTTTATCACACCCTTTACTTCATCATTCCACCAATCACTCCTCTTTCCCCCTGCTCCCACCTCCTATAACCACAAACTTCTGCCCCCAATTCAAATTACTGCATTTTTAAAACTATTCCAACCCTCTTCAACCCCCCACTACCATCTTTGCACTAGCCACCTTTCTGCCAAAGTCGCTTATACCCACCCAAAACGTCCTCCTCCCTTAGTTTAACACTTTCACCTCCCTTACTTGTTGTTGCCACCTTCCTCTTTTCCCATCTCCCTCTTCTCTAACTGTAGCTACAACTAAATAATGATCCGATATATCAGTTGCCCCTCTATAAACATTTTACATCCTGGACCCCTACCCATCAACCTTTTATCCACCAATACATAATCTAATAAACTACTTTCATTACGTGCTAAATATATATATTTATATATATATATATATATATATATATATATATATATAAACGTGTATATATTATATATATAAAATATATATATTATATATATATAATATTTTTATATATATGTATGTATGTAGTATGTATGTATGTATGTAATGTATGTTTGTTGAACTCTATAGGTAAAATGGTCAATTAGCAAGAACTCATTAAAATTATAGGTAGTGGGTTTTGGTAGACAGCAACCACCCAGAAGTACTCCCGTCCCCCCCAGATGACTGTGAAACAAAAACCTGTAACTGTTTTGCATGATGGTAGGATTGCTGGTTTCTTTTTCTGTCTCATAAACCGTTAAAAATAACAGGGATATCTTGCTACTCCTACTTACACTTTGGTCACACTTCACAGCACGCACATGCATATATATATATACATACATCTAGGTTTTTTCTCCCTTTTTCTAAATAGCTCTTTGTTCTTTTTTATTTCTTCTATTGTCCATGGGGAAGTGGAAAAGAATCTTTCCTCCGTAAGCCATGCGTGTCGTATGAGGCGACTAAAATGCCGGGAGCAATGGGCTAGTAACCCCTTCTCCTGTATACCCAATTACTAAAAAAGAGAAGAAGAAAAACTTTATAAAACTGGGGTTTCTTAAATGTGCGTGGATTAGTGCGGATGACAAGAAACAGATGATTGCTGATGTTATGAATGAAAAGAAGTTGGATGTCCTGGCCCTAAGTGAAACAAAGTGAAGGGGGTAGGAGAGTTTCAGGGGGGAAAAAATGGGATTAAATCTGGAGTATATGAGAGAGTTAGAGCAAAGGAAGGGTAAGCAGTAATGTTAAATGATCAGTTAGGAAGGAGAAAAGAGAAAATGAATGTGTAAATTCAAGAATTATGTGGATTTTAAAGTAAAGGTTTGGATGCGGGAGAAGTGGGTCATAATAAGCGTGTATGCACCTGGAGAAGAGAGGAATGCAGAGGAGGAGAGAGAGATTTTTGGAGATGTTTAAGTGAATGTATAGGAGCCTTTGAACCAAGTGAGAGAGTAATTTTGGTAGGGGACTTTAATGCTAAAGTTTGGAGAACTTTTAGAGAGGGTGTGGTAGGTAAGTTTTGGGTGCCAGGTTGTAAATATAATGGGAGCCCTTTGATTGAAAATTTGTATAGAAAGGGGTTTAGTTATAGGTAATACATATTTTAAGAAAAAGAGGATAAATAAGTATACACGATATGATGTAGGGCGAAATGACAGTAGTTTGTTGGATTATGTATTGGTAGAAAAAAAGACTGTTGAGTAGACTTCAGGATGTACTGTTTATAGAGGGGGCCCCAGATATATCAGATCACTTTCTAGTTGTAGCTAAAACTGAGAGTAAAAAGGGAGATGGGATCAGGAGAATAGAAGCATCAGGAAGAGGAGGTGAAGGTTTATAAACTAAAAGAGGAGGCAGTTAGGGTAAGATATAAACAGCTATTGGAGGATAGATGGGCTAATTTAGAGCATAGGCAAGGGGTCGAAGAGGTATGGGTAGGTTTAAAAATGTAGTGTTAGAGTGTTTAGCAGAAGTTTGTGGTTACAGGAAAGTGGGTGCAGAGGGAAGAGGAGCGATTGGTGGAATGATGATGTAAGAGAGTTGTAAGGGAGAAAAAGTTAGCATATGAGAAGTTTTTACAAAATAGAAGTGATGCAAGGAGGGAAGAGTATATGGAGAAAAAGAGGAAGTTAGAGAGTGGTGAAGCAATGTAAAAGAGAGAAAAAGAGAGAGTGGGTGAGATGTTATCAACAATTTTGTTGAAATAAGAAAAGTTTGGAGTGGATACAAGTTAAGAAAGCTAGAGGGAAAAAATGGATTTGTCAGTTAAAAATAGGAGAGGGAGGTATTAAATGGAGAGTTTGAGGTATTGGGAGATGGAAGGAATATTTGAGGAATTTTTAAATGTTGATGAAGATAGGAACTGTGATTCGTGTATGGGCAGAGGAATAACATCTTGTAGGAGTAGGGAAAAGCAAATTGTGGGTGGGGGAATTCGTGAGGCAGTAGGGAAATGAAAGGGGTAAGGCACAATGATGGTAGTAAAATGTTAAGGCAGGTGGGGATATTTTGGGTGGTTGGTGCAATTATTTTTAAATTATGGAAGAGGTAAGGTACTTAGGTTGCAGAGGATGCATTCTTTGATAAAGGCAAAGGGGATAAAGAGAGTGCAAAAATTTTTAGGGGATAAGTCGTTGAGTTACCTGGTAAAGGGGTTGGTAGAGTTTAATTGAAAGAATTATGAGTAGACGGGAATAGATAGCAGATGACAAGGAGGCTTTAGAAAGGAGGGGGTGTGTGGACCAGGGTTTACAGTGGGAAAATATAAACAGTATTAGATAATGCTAAAGAGGGCTTTGTGGCATTTATGGATTTTGGAAAGGCGTTATGACAGGTGGATAGGGGGCAATGTGGCAGTGTTGCAAGTGTATGGTGTAGGGGGTAGGTTACTGAAAGCAAATTGGAAGAGTTTTTACGAGATAGTGAGGCTCAAGTTAGAGTTGTAGGAAGAGGGAAATTTTTCCCTAAAATAGGCCTAGAAAAGGGTTGTTTATGTCACCGTGGTGTTTAAAATTTTAGATGGGGTTGTAAGGAAGTAAATCGAGGGTCTTGGGAAGAGGGGGAGTTTAAAAATAAAAGTCACCAACAAAGTGGAGTTGTCACAGCGCTCTTGCTGATGACATGTGCTCTTAGATTCTGAAAGAAGTTGCAAGTTGGTGGATGTTTGGTTAGGGTGTGCAAAAGAAGAAAATTAAAGGTGAATACAGGAAAGAGTAAGGTTAGATACAAAAATTTGGTGATTAAAGATTGAATATCAATTGGAGGGAGAGAGGATAGAGGAGGTGAACGTATTCAGATATTGGAAGTGCGTTCAGCGGATGGGGCTATGAAAGATGAGGTGAATCATAGAATTGAGAGGAAAAAGAGTGAGTGGTGCACTTAGGAGTCTGTGGAGGACAAAGAAAATTTTCTTGAGGCAAAGAGGGAAAATTTTTTAATAGTTTTAAACGACTCTTATATGGGTGTGAAGCGTGGTGTAATTTGCAGGGATTAAGGCTGGGCAATAGATGTCATTCTACAATGTGGTTAATATTTAAAGCAGAGAACTTGTAGTTTGGAAGTTTAAATCGGGATACCAAAACTGTTGTCAAGAGGCTGAGAAGGTTGTTGGGGGTGGTTCGGACATGTAAGAGAATGGATCAACAGAATGACTTCAAAATTAACGTCTGTAGTGGAAAAGGGAACGGGGGAGGGGTCGCCTAGGAAGGGTTGGAGGGAGGGGTAAAGGAGGTTTTGTGTGCGAGGGGCTTGGACTTCCAGCAGGCATGCGTGAGGTGTTTGATAGGAGTGAATAGAGACAAATGTTTTATACTTGACTGCTTTGGAGTGTGAGCGTTAACAATAAGGATTTAGGGAAACGCAGGCGACTTGAGTCCTGGAGATGGAAGTACAGTGCCTGCACTCTGAGGAGGGGTGTTATGTTGCAGTTTAAAAACTGTAGTGTAAAGCACCCTTCTGGAAAGGCAGTGATGGAGAATGATGGGATGAAAGTTTTCTTTTTCGGGCCACCGCTTGGGGGAAATCGGCCGGTAGTGATAATAAAAATAAAAAAATCATTTAAAATTAAGTCTTTTCTAAAATTTTCTCTTATGCATTTAAAGATATATTTTTTTCTTTTATGTAATGTAAATATTAACATATATATTAATTTAATTATTTTATTCTATTTTCTGAAGGGCTACACACCCAGAAGAATGTTTGAGTTGTCTGATGAGTTCATTGCTTCGCTGAACTTGACCACAATGCCACAAGAGTTCTGGGAACACTCTATATTAGAAAAACCAGGAGGACGTGAGATGGTGTGTCATGCCTATGCATGGGACTTTTGCAATGGCAAAGATTTCAGGTGCGGTAATGTCAAGAGTCTCTAAGTTTATAGTTTGTATTTTGTTTTATTCAAAATGTTTGTTGGTAAAATGCTGTGTAAAATAATTGCTTCAATGAATTTATACCAGGAAGAACCTTGAAATTAACGCATTTCTTCTGGATTAGTCGAATCTGGTTTTAAAGGGTCCTAAGATCATTTTATTCCAAGCATTTGTGTGGAATTGCCTTCAGTACAGCTCTATGACAAAAGGTTCGGGAAGTTGCAAGCTTACACAACCCTGTACAATTTGAATAAAAAGGTCTAATGGATTATGAATATTCAAAATATGGAATGTTGTCATTGTTGTAATATAAATCCACTCTCATAGTATAAACTTGGGTATATTGTATATTTGGGTATAACTGTATACTGGGCAAAAAACTGTATCATCAGGTACATTACTTAGATCTTTCCAGTACAAGAATACAAGAATATATAAATTAATAGGCACACTGTAGAGTAACATCTGACATAACAGAACAAGTCTTTAAATAATCTAACATCAGAATATACGAACCATAGCTGGATGAAACCAAAGATAAAACCAGATCGCAAAGTGTGCCCAGTGGCCTAATGGTTAATGCTCTTGCTTCACACGCTGAGGGTCTGGGTTCGATTCCCAGCAAGGGTAGAAACATTGGGCATGTTTCTTTACACCGGTTGTCTATGTTCACCCATCAGTAAAATAGGTACCTGGGAGTTAGTCAACTGGTGTGGGTTGCATCCTGGGACAAAACTGACCTAATTTGCGGGAAATGCTCGGCTGGAACAAGTGTAGAAGCCTTCAAGAGGAAACTGGACAAGTATCTTCACCATGTGCCAGATCAACCAGGATATGTGGGGCAGCAGGCCTCCAGCAGCAACAGCCTGGCAGACCAGGCGGGCACCAGATGAGCCTGGCCCATGGTCGGACTCAGAGAGTAGAGAAACTCTCAAAACTCTTCAAAGGTATATCAAAGGTAAGGTATAGCAAGTGGCTTTCTATATAGTAGTATGTCATTGATGTCAGCTATGGCCTGTGTACCATGCACATGTATTTGTAGTATATAAAGATCTTATATTATTCTTCTTATTAAAGCAGATGTTAGCATCACACAGCAGCCATAGGCAACACAACAGCGGGCAAGGTCAAAGATGCAGGATCTGTCAGGAGACGTTACATTGTAATTCATAAAGGAACAAAAATCCTAAATCACTAAAGCTAATTTTAGTAACATCAACTTCCAAACAAGTGCAACTAATGCCAGTAGTCTCACTGTGTACTTGTGTAGCACACTTACATAATCTCAGCTACGTCGTCACAAAATGTCACATTAGTTGCACTTGTGTCCTTTCACGTAATATATTGTCAGTAATTCTATCAACATTGATACAAAAGCTAACTGTATTTTCCTTGTCATATTCCATCAAGCTCAATGGGGCTTATACAAGGTGTTGAAATTAGCGATGGGAAGTTACCACAATTTTGGCAGATATCGACACTCATTTTTCAGCTGATACCGAAACTGATACTTTTCATATTTTTTTCATTGTAATGACTATGTTCAGTATATAGGGAAATGTTTATTTCATAATTTGTATTAAATAACTCAGGGTGGTTATTAAATAACTTAATTTCTCAGAAATGTTAATGACATTACTCATTACTTTCCCTGTTTTGTTAGATAATGGTAGTCAAAGGCACTTGTCGATAGTGTGTATGTATGTCTGTACTCAGCTATGTGTGTGTGAGTTTATTTGTTTATGTATACAGTGGTCCCTCAGTTATCGTCCTTAATCCGTTCCTGGAAGTGGGACTATTATCGAAATAGACGATTTTCGAATCAATTTTCCCCATAAGAAATAATGTAAATCCAATTAATTCGTTCCTGACACCCAGAAGTATTAAAACAAAAAAAAATTTTTTTACATGAAATATAGATATGGTACATAAACAGTACAATGGGACATAAGAACATAAGAAAGAAGGAACACTGCAACAGGCCTACTGACCCATGCGGAGCAAGTCCATGTCCCCCCCGGATTAGACCAATGACCCATCCCCCGGATTATCCCAATGACCCACTCAGTCTGGTCATCCCCACTCAAGAATGGAGCACTGTACCAGACCCAGCAGCACAAGCTAGTCAGGTCCAACTCACACCCACCCACACCCACTCATGTATTTATCTAACCTATTTTCAAAACTACACAACGTTTTAGCCTTAATAACTGTACTCGGGAGCTTGTTCCACTCATCCACAACTCTATTACCAAATCAGTGCTTTCCTATATCCTTCCTGAATCTGAATTTTTCCAACTTGAAACCATTGCTGCGAGTCCTGTCTTGGCTGGAAATTTTCAGCACACTATTTACATTCCCTTTATTTATTCCTGTTTTCCATTTATACACCTCGATCATATCCCCCCTAATTCTACGCCTTTCGAGAGAGTGCAGATTCAGGTCCTTCAGGTAAACTCCAGGTATCCTCATAGGGAAGATTTCTGATACATGGGATCATCTTTGTCATCCTCCTCTGTACGTTTTCCAGAGCATTTATATCCATTCTGTAATACATGATGAATGAAACATTAACAGCATAACACTTACCTTTATTGGCAATTCTTCTTAGTGTATGGAAGACTGGAGGAGGAGAGAGATTGAATTACTGTTTGGAAGGGGAATCCCCTTCCATCAACACCTCAGCTACCAAGTGCTTTTCTGGGGTTACTTCTTTGTTTCTTAATGCCACCAGGACCAGCTTGAGAGTCACTGGAGTCCTGTCTCGCAAAAAAACTGTCCAGAGAGCTCTGTTTCTGGCGTCTCTTTAAAACTTCCCTAAAATAGGCCAAGACTCTGTCACTGTACATGTTGCCAACATGGCTTGCAACATCCTTCTCAGGGTGATGTTTCTCCATAAATCTTTCCATCTTACCCCACATTTCAAAAATCTTAATTTCTGAAGAAGGCACCTTCTTCCATCTCTCTTCCTCCTCCTCTGCAGCAAGATTCTGAGCTGCCTTATCACACTGTGTATGCCAGTATGCTTCTTAAATCTCTCAAACCAGCCTTAAATTCACTCACATCACCACTAGTTGCAGGCAATTTCTTTACCAAATCGTCATGCAACTGCCTAGCCTTTTCACAAATAAGCTACATCATAAGATTATCTCCTGCTAATTGTTTCTCGTTTATCCACACCAATAATAACTTCACAACATCTTCGAGTACTGGTGATCTCATTTTTTGTCAGCATATTTACCCCCTTTGCAACAACAGCTTCCTTGATTTCCTTTTTCTTGGCTATGATGGAAGATATGGTTGTACGGGATTTGTTATACATCCTGGCCAGTTCGCCCATATATACGCCACTTTCATATTGTTCAATGATGTTTTTCTTAAATTCAATCGCATTTCTCACCTTCTTTACCAACGGCTTGACACTAGGAGCTTTCTTTGGAGCCATGGTAGCTTATATAGCACTTGCAAGCACTAAAATGAATGGAATATTATGAAATATTTCGTATGAACACGTGAGGGGACCGTCGCTCACTGGTAAACAATGGCACACTGGCTGGGAAGGGAGGCCGAGGCGGCTCAGAGCATGAGTACGCGTCCAGGACGAAGGATGATTAGCGAGTTTCGGACCATTTGCGAGCCAATGTTTTGACGAAATAATGGGACTACAGTGGACCCCCGCATAACGATTACCTCCGAATGCGACCAATTATGTAAGTGTATTTATGTAAGTGCATTTGTACGTGTATGTTTGGGGGTCTGAAATGGACTAATCTACTTCACAATATTCCTTATGGGAATAAATTCGGTCAGTACTGGCACCTGAACATACTTACGGAGTGAAAAAATATCGTTAACCGGGGGTCCACTGTATTTCCGAAATGGACGACTTTCAGGCTGGACGATTATTGAGGGGCCACTGTATGTATGTGTGTGTAGTATGAGAAACTCACAGTCGTGAAGTAGTGTTAATGTTAATATTTTAAAGCATACATGTAATATTAATATTTTAAAAAGTATCCGCTGATACTGACTTTTTTAACAGTTAACATTACCGATACCATATAAATGGCCGATAATCCCCGATACTGATTCTTTCTAGTTGAAATTCGTAGGCCTGTGCTGGGAGACTTTCGTGGAGTAATTAGGGTATCGTCAAAACATTCCAGCAAAAGATCATAAACTACTACAGTTTCAAAGCTTTCCTTTCAGTGTGGCTGGAGTTATTATCACTTGGGTATCGTCATAAATAAATAACAAAAAAAGGCACAATACTGTGACAGGAACAATACACAAATAACCCGCACATAAAAGAGAGGAGCTTACGACGACGTTTCGGTCTGACTTGGACCATTTATAAAGTCACACTAACAAAAAGGAGAGCAGGATGGGTAAATATTGGCAGGAGGTGGTAGTAGTAGTAGTAGTGGTGGTAGTAGTGGAGGGAAGGAAGTAGTAGTGGGGAGATAGTAAGAGTAGGAGGGGCCAGTCAAATACTAAGAAAGAGGAGCACTGCAAGGGAGCTAGGTGCCCACAGAGGGTAAGAGCAAGAACACCTAGGGGGGGAAACAAATAAATAAATAAATAAAGAAGGAGCAAATACACAGGGCAGAAGAAAGACAACTCAAAGGAGAAAAAGGAAAAAGGAAAGGGGAAGAGGGAGAAGAAGAAAAAAGGAGGAATCAGGTTAGGTCATGAGTGTTCTGAAGTTTGGAGCATTTTACAATGTAAGAACATAAGAACATAAGAATGTAGGAACACTGCAGAAGGCCTACTGGCCCATGTGAGGCAGGTCCTTATTAAAATGACCTCTACCTAAAGCTACCCAAGAAATAACTCCCATACCCAATGACACCAATCAAACCCAGCCCCTCCCACTCATATATTTGTCCAGTCTCTTCTTAAAGCTACCCAAGGTCCTAGCCTCTATCACCCCACTGGGAAGACTGTTCCACGCATCCACAACTCTGTTAGAAAACCA